AGTATCGGTTGATGTACCAAATTCGAAGGCTGAGATAATTTGTCCAATTTCTCCATTAACACTTCCATCTATGCTACTAATGCTATCACTGCATCAATATTATGAACACCTATAGATTTCTTAGGAAAGTCTCGTCAGTCGGCCAATTAGCTTGATTATCCATAATCCTCTCATGTAATTCATGGGCATCATCAATGTCCATCTTTATCACTGAACCACCATCTGAAGCGTTTGCTATATTACAATATTTTGGACATAGTCATAGTGGAAGATATATAAATGTGCTTGCTTTAAAATGTCAAGATTATGACACTTTCTAAACAAGTCCTTAAACCTCCATGCCTCTGAATAGCTCTCGAGGTCTTCTACTTAAAGATGTGGATTCATTCCGGATTTGATAGATTTGAAATGGAGAGAAGAACTTCATGGTAAATTTTTTCACTATATCATTCCATGATATGATACCTCCAACAAGTAAAGAGTGAAGCCATCATCTTGCACCATCCTTTAAGGTTTGAGGGAATAAACATATTCTGAAGGTATCTTGATATGATCCGAGATGTACCACCAATGATCAAGAATTTGGTGATTGATTGGAAGAAACCAAAGCCATGATCGAGACTTCAAGGGGTTAATAAAAGGCACACAATTAATGGTTCTAGCCATGGAGCATGTAATGTTGAAGTGGGCAAGCCAAGGTACAAGATTGTAGTTGGGGTCGGAGGCCGAAGCAAGTTGGAACTAATGGTCACAAGCAAGCGAAAGAAGAAGCCAAAACGGAGGTTCAATCGGGCAACCATGCGGCCGCATGGTTGTAAAAGCCTTGCAACCACATGGCATGAGGCAAGGATTCGAGGCAGCATTTTCATTTGGTCAATGCGAGCGCATGCTGCCCAACTATGCGGTCGCATAGACAAGCTCGACGATCGAATTTTCGAATTTTCGCGAGATTCTTATTTTAACTAGAATTCTATTATTTCCTTGTTTTCATAATATTTTGGATGTAATTTACCGTATTAATTAGGTTTTTAGGGTTTTCCTTGAACTCATATAAATGGGGACTTATTTTTTTTCATTGGAGGCACCTTTTGACAATTTGAGAGATTTAATCAAAGGAGCGATTTTGCTTCCAATCTTTGTTCTTGCTAGAACAATTGAACTTATCAAAGAATTCATTATTTCTTGTGGCGTTCACAATTATCTGGGTGAGATCCTTATTCCGTGTAATTAAGAGGTCATTAGTTTATATACTTTTGGTTGCTTAGTTCATTGATTGGGGATTAAATCCAAAACCATCGATTATTTGGCACTCTTGGGAATTGAGTCAATCTAGTTGTGGGTTCGTTAGTGTTCGTTGCTATCGGGTTCGCATCATATCTCTTGACATCCCTTCATGGCTAATGACTTCACCCAACATCAAAGAAGCTCATACATTGGTAAGTGCATTTTTGTGCATTTATTTGGGCCATATTACTAAGCTTTTTGTGTCATTAATATTGAATTTTACTTAACTTGGATTATTTTTTTCTTATTTTAGTTTTGGACTCATTTCTAAGCAACTGAAAAAGAAAAAAGGATCAATTGACCAATGGAAGGAAGTTCGGAAACAAATAAGCATTTGAAAGAGTTGAAGGACCAAAATTGAAGTAATTTAACATGGAGGACCAAGATGGAAGAAAGAAAGAAGAAAATGACAAAAAAGAAAATTTTAGAAGTTTTTATAACTAGGCAGTGATGAGTGTATTTCACTCATAGTTTAGATACCATCTAAGCTTGATATTT